GACACCTCTTAAGCGACACTATCACTGGACCGGGTCTTATGAGCCGGCAGCCACATTACTCAGACTGGAAGAGCCAGGACCAGTTTGCAGCAGCCCATGCCTGTCATTGACGGCACACCGCACAAGACCGGTTCACATTCGTCCCCACGCCCTGCAGCGAGAAGCAGACGTGATTGGGCTCAAGGCACAAATAACATCAGCACGCGCTGATGACATGACACGTGTCTGAAGCCAGATTAAAATAATATCTATATTGACTCGTACACAAAAACGAAGATTAAACATTTCGTAACAAAACATAAAGTTCCCGTGGGCATACATCTGACACCAAAGCCAAGGGAAGGTCTGGCCACCCAAGGACTGCTCCACCTTACAGCTGGGTCACCCTGCTCCATCTCACAGCTGGGTCACCCAGGCATGCTCCACCTTACAGCTGGGTCATACGTCCCGGTCGGCAAGCACATAGACCCAATCTTTCTGATCGCATTTTCATTTGTACTCGTTGGCCGCGACTTGGTCGTGGCATCTGAATTATGGCACGAGCCTTGAGAAACTCATCGGAAAGTCTTAGAAGTTGGCGGCTTCTCGTCATTACTGACCAGAACTTTGCTGAAGTGTCCGCATGTATCATGCAACCACGACAGGACCGCGACCGGAGGAGAATCGATAAACAAATCGGTCCAGCCCCAGGCCGCCAACGTGCCACCTATGCTGCTAGGATCGACGCGGTCACCGCCTGCTATCATTGTCTGATTAGTTAGAGCGCAAACAAAGTTTGAAGATGTCGCAATTCCGCTGTGCCAAGTAAGGGTCGGAAGGGGGGGGGGGGCTGATTAGAAAAGTTGTAAGTTCCTACTGGTGGAGTACAACTGCTATTTAAGACAAATATTCCTGAACACCACTGCTTGTGTGTCTGTACCTGGAGCGGCATGAAATTCAAAACATTGGAAGGGAAGCCGAAGCCCAGGGTTTTTCATGCATTTTAGTTTTACAGTATTTGGTATCTCGCCACTGTCGCGATGATCTGGTCCACATGTTGCACAACCGATCACAATTTTGAAAGGCCACCGCACCATGAAGAAATAGGTTTATGAACGGGGGAGGGGGAAGGGGAGAGGTGAACACGTCCCTTTAGAAGTGGTGGGTGCATCCTGTTTCTGATGTCCGAATTTCTATAAAAGCATAGCATTAAGGAGGTGATGCAAGGGTAAACATTCAACGGCGACAAACGACAAAGTCCTGACTCTAAGTGTGGGTAATCTCCCAGCTCTCTAGACCTTTGTATACCTTGCCCAAATAGGTACGCAATTCCACCCACAGGCATCTGTCGCGGGCCACACCTCCGCTGTTTCCATAGCAACTGCGCCGTCATCATTCCGGCAAAACCCAAGCCACGATGGTTCACCCGGGTGACGCAAAAGAAACGGACGTGCTTTACCGGTTTAGATGTCTGCTTTATGAGTGATTCACGCGCTTGCGTTGGACCGCGGGTTGGTGTAAAACAGGAGCTCCGGGGCTCACCGCTGGAACTGTGGCAGCTCGCGTGCCAAGCAGGAAGAAAGTCACAACGGGCGTTCCACAGTACTCCGCTGTCGGCCTTAAGTCACTTGCCTTGCTGCTTATCTCACGGGGGGAGGTGGATATCTTCGGAGTTTTAGTCCAGTCGACAGAAAGTTTGGGAAGCTTATCATGGCAGAGTCTGTTGTATTCAAACTCTGTCGAAATCACATACGGGGAATGCAGATGTTCTCAACACGTTGCAATGCAATCATTCAACGTTTTCTGGAGACAGGTCCGCGTTCCGTCGGGCCAAACTTTTACTGTCGATGAAGCCGCCCTGATCCGGGTCAGCCAGCTGACGCTGCAGGCATACTGCCAATGGGAGGCGACTTGCTGAGACGTCAGACCACGTGACACGATACCCTTCAGACAGGTCACGTCGAAAGAGTACGCTGTGATTGCGGAGAACATACATACTAGCTGTCGAATTTCGACCGCACATTCTTGAATACGAGCAAAGCAAATTATCTTGCTTGGTTAATCCTTTGAACTAAATGGGATTGAGCTGCAACTTTCAAGATCATCAAATGTTACCCAGATAACAAAAGAGTGGCTGGATATTTGACGAGGTTGAACGCCAAAAGGGGTGTCCACTTTCAAATAAATATTTTACTCTGTTTTCGCTCGAGAAGTTGACGTTGTGAAAGCGCTGCATGGCTTGAAACGTCCACGCAAGACCGTTCCCGGATGGTGGCGCCCTCGTGCGTGGTGAGAGCTGCACACTGCCACCTAGCGGCAAGATCCAAACTTAAGCTGCTCTTATGAGCCATAGATGGGAAATCGGGTAAGTCACCTGGCTTGGTAGTCAACGACCTGGGCTCGGCGCTGCGAAGCCTCTGCGGAATGCGGTATCTATTGTTGTCGTTTCCTGTTGGGCGGGAACGAGATCGAGTGTGAAGCAACGCGTTCGCTGGGAACGCCTTCGTGCCTCCTAGACACGTGATCGCGGGTGGAAACCGTACAAACGTAGATGCCGTCTGTTCTTCAGAAGAACGCCCCGCGTCGCTGCAGCTAGCTTGAGCATATATCGGCGTGGAACTCCGCCACTTGCACCGTCGGTGCCAGAAACTGAACTACCAAAGGTTGCGATGCCACGCCTCTGACAAACCAAAGCTGCAGATATCACGAAAGGCGTGACAAGTAGCGGCATCCGCAGATTGCTGCGCTGTCATAGATATCGAATTGTTGGTTTGTACAGCACAGCAATTATGGAATGCTCACCTAGGTGCCAATCGTATTGCAGGTACCTCGACACACACACACACACACACACACACACACACACACACACACACACACACACACACACACACACACACACACACACACACACATATATATATATATATATATATATATATATATATATATATATATATATATATATATATATATTTAAGATGAAGCCGTCAAAACCGCTCGCTAATAACACAGATCATAACAAGAACTCTCACGGTCATACAGGACACATGGATGTCGTCACAGCACAACCAGATGCAGCAAAACTGACTCCCCCCCCATGCCTGTCGCAGAGTTGGCGTTTTTGCATTTTTTTCGCTTGAAATTGAAGTTCCCAGTACTGCTGTCGTTTAGACTTTGATTTGCACCGCAGTCCATGGTACAGGACTGCACCCACGCATTTGGGGGCCCGATTCCGGCATGCCTGTGGTTGCGCTACAGCTGGCAGAATGCCGGCGCATCAGGAAGCACCGCAGCGTGACCTCGCTGGGAGGCGCGCCCTGCGACAGCGTGCCACCAGCTTTACTGCACGGGCCCGGCGTGTCTGCACCGCGTCATGCGAACACAGTGCATGCGTCTGGGGTCGGCCTAATCACGCCGTTATGTATGCTCTGTGCACTCCTGGTTATGGGGAAGATAAGTAGACCTAAGAAGCCCTGCAAGCTGAAACCCATTTGAACAATCCCAGGAGCAAACTGTGAGCTGATTCACAGATGCAGTATCGATAAAAACAACTCAGTCACGGGAAGATGCACAACTGTTCCGTAACAAGGCAGCCACTTCATGACTGCACGCATATTTATATCACAGCACCCAGATAGGTTCCATGTTAAATATTACAAACATCGATGCTTCTATGATCAGTTGTGCCATAGCTTTGGATAGTCGGGCCACGCGTATATCACTAGTACCGTCATGGCCAGGGGCACATGAGGATGTCTGGGAACCTAACTCTTCTCATCATTCTTTTCCTCGCCAGACTATATGACCTACACCCTGTAATCGGTGGCGGACCCAGCGGAGGAATTGCTGAGATCATGTCCTTAGCTTGAAAGTGACACTTTGAAGTTTGCAAAAGCCAACCAACAGCTAAACGAGATTTTATGCTGGAGCCGTGCTACAGTGGTCAAAAAGTCGGAACATCCAGGGATCAAGTATTCCTCAAAACCAATCCCGCAGAAATATCGACTCCACCTCTTTCAGTCTTTGACGGCCATGCTTTTGCCGCCCTCCACCTAAGCTCCACCAGCAAAACCATGAACCTTGTTGTTGCATCTGTTTGTGTTCTCGTTCCGAGCACGCACGCACCTGCCAGTCATCTGTATCATCTTTACTGTTCATTACGGTAAACAACTAACACACGCCACTTAAAATGTAGCTCAAATCGGTACCCAGTATATTTTTCGCCGACCACTCTTGTGTAGCCAGCATGAGCAAGCTGCTAGCAAAAACCATGAGCGCTCAAATCCTTTAAAAGTTTAACGACGGTAGGGCGTATTCCAAGTTCCTTGTTCGCTTGGTGCGACTTCATCCAGGTGCATTCCAGCTTGTGAAACACAGTGATTATTCCCCAAGCCACCGCGTCCGCAGAAGTGTGGGGCCACACTGAACATTGGTACGTTTCATCAACGATGGGGGTCACCCACTGCCCGCCCGGTTCCCGCCCGCGCCTTTTCCTCCAACGTTCCCACGGCCACTGGAAGAGTCCTCCGTTGCCAGACAGATCCCTGAGGATGTCCCTCTTGCCAGACAGATCCCTGAGAGATGTCCCTCTTGCCAGACAGATCCCTGAGAGATGTCCCTCTTGCCAGACAGATCCCTGAGGGATGTCCCTCTTGCCAGACAGATCCCTGAGTGATGCCCCTCTTGCTAGACAGATCCCAGAGGGATGTCCCTCTTGCCAGACAGATTCCTTGAGGGATGTCCGGCGGCTGGGAAGGTCGACGAGCGCAATAACGACAAGGCTCGGTTTCAGCCTGCAGATACCGCAGCATTAAAGAGCACCACTGACATTTGTTGGTGCCCTGAATCACAATGCAATCACAGGAAAACAAAAGGCCACTGTCGGGACCAAAGACGACTCACTCACCTGCTGTCTGGTCTGAGTCAGGAGTCAGGACGCTCTCGCCTGCTGTCTTGTCGAGTCAGGAGTCAGGACTCACTCGCCCGCTGTCTGGTCTGGGTCAGGGATCAGGACTCACCTCACCCGCAGGATCTCGGCCACGTCGTCGATGGCGTCGATGTAGCCGCCGAAAGAGGACAGGCAGAACGGTGAGCGCAGCGGCTTGATGTCCTCGAAGATGACCTCCTCGCTCTCCTCCGATCTGGAGGCGGGGCGCGGTGTAGAGGAGCGTGAGGGATGTGGGGGGCGGGGGGCGGGGGGGGGGGCTGAGCCCCGCCGTGCTGTTGCTGCCCTTTTAGCGACCATCCCGCCTGTGATGTAATAATCCTCTCCCTGGCTATGTCGCACATACTAACCCGTGCATCGATAAACACGACACGTGTTTAAACATCGCTGGTAGGGCGTGGAGCCTCACCGGCAGCCGCCCAGCGCGGCCGCAATGGTCGAGAGGTGTTTTACTGGCACGGCTAAGGGTAATAAATTGGCATTCCATCTCCCTGGCCATGGCGCCGCGAACTGGTCACAGCAGCGCCTGCTAGTGTGGTGTCTTCTGCTGTCTGCAGCCAGCACGGTTGTCGCGCATAGCAAATACAGCGCAACGAACGGGTTGGTACCAGGCACCGATGTGCGCGCATTTTTGGGGGGCTCTGTTTTCGGAGTCGGCTTTGAGTGTTTGCCTGCTAATGGTCTTTCGCTTGCTACGGTGCTGTACAGGTTCAAGTAGACATAAGATCGTGTTTTTAGACGGTCTCGAGCATAAGACCCGAGCCACTGGGTCCGACTTCCGACCTGCATGTTCCCCCCCCCCCCCAAAAAAAAACTATGAGCAACATCCGACTAACCAGCTCCTAACCAGGCACTGCATTCAAGGGCGGCTCCAGAAAGCGATCCGATGGGACATTGCGACCTTGTTTTGCGGTGGTGGCCTTCTTACGTATGTTAAGTTCATTTTCACGCTGATCTGAGTAATGTAGGAACTAAATTGTGAAGTGAGCTCGAAGTAAATAATGAAAGCATGATGGGAAACAAAACGGAAGATTGGGCTTCCAATAGTTATTTGATCCCACACAAAATGCCTTGACTTCAGACTCATACAAAATACATAGGATACTAAATCAGCCAAATTATATTACTATATTTCCAATGAAAATACAAAATATCCTATGGTGTGTATCCCTGCTCTGCATTTTCCATTCCCTGCGTTTCATGCATTCCTCAGGATGTATGCATTTCCCGCACGTCTGGCTTCCATAAGACGTACGCGACGAATATCGTGGTTTAGCAAGTCAGCTGCGCACAGTGCGCTGCCACCTGAGTGGGGAAGTGCAGACGTCCCGGGAGACAACGTGCTGCATCATCGCACCTGAGTGGGGAAGTGCAGACGTCCCGGGAGACAGCGTGCTCCATCATCGCACCTGAGTGGGGAAGTGCAGACGTCCCGGGAGACAACGTGCTGCATCATCGTCGCGCCACCCTCATGAAGGACATCAACAACACGATCGGACTACACCTTCATGCTCACTGCGATTTTGATGTCCTTCCTGAAGTTCCAGTTGCTGGGAAAATTTTGTGTAAGTGCCCTGACCGTGCCGAACGTAAATTTACAGAAACCATGCTTATGCGGTTTTGTATTCGGGGTCATGTTTGTTTATGTTTATTCGAGAAATTAGGTTTGTTCTAAAAACCCGCCATGAGAAAAACGTAGCAAGCTGGTCTCTTGAAGAAACAACCGGTCCGGCAAAGACATAGTATGGACATGAAAGCTTTTCTGTGATATAAAGTAGCGTGCAATTAAGTATTTCTTGCAGCGTTTACGATAAATGTAGATTCTGCCCGCATTAAGAAAAATTTTTCAGTAAATTAGTAGACTGGTAGGAACTTTGATAGTTTGTTGTATTTTCATGATTTATTTAACGTTTGTCGGATCCAGTGATATATTATCAACCACCCGAGGAAGGACTACCTTCCGAAATATAGTGACATTACTTTGGCCTTCCGTATTTTTGCGCTTTTTTGTTGGCTGGATGGTGGAAAATAACAATCAGTTCACCATGACTTGGCTAATAATTCTGCATGACTAAGGATTTGATTACATCCTTTGCTTCAAAAAGCAGAGCTTTCAGGCACCAACTATATGCATATGCAGAGCCACTTCGCACGCAAAATCACCGTTTCGAATTATTACTTCCCATCCTCCTGATCCGAAAACATTAAAGCTGATGTTGAAGTCAAGTCAAGACTTCAGGGCGCCTACAGAGGAGACACAAGTCAGGTGTCATGCAACACAATCTTCAGTCCGGCTCGCTCTGGCTCAGGGCAACAGCCCCGTAGCTTTTAAAAATTCCCATTAGAATTATGCGTAAAACGACTTAACGAATGCGATCTTAGCTTCTTAGCGCGGGGGGGGGGAGCGAGGCGGCCGGGTACCTAGAGACGTGCTTGAAATCACGCCATTTTGTATCTGGTGGAACAATCCTGAAAAGCAAGTTTTCCGAATAGGTGCCAAATCATGAACATGCTGCAACCACCTCACGGGCAAATGAACGTGAAACACCGGCGTGCACATGTTAACCAGATAAGCTTTCAAACAGCTCGTTTGTATTGAACGGGAGCTATGGAGATGTCCGCAATCTCTTCTCCAGCCTTGGTGACCGAATGATATCAAAAGTTTCATTGGAGACCATGTAGCCCCGTAATGGAGATGCCGTGATTTCTTGCTTGCACATTTCTTAATGCGTGCCCAAATATGTTATTTTATCATGATCTGACCAAGTCTGACGAAGGGATAGCGATTACCTCGAAAGCATCAATTCCATGCAAACAATCTGGCTAAAATACCATCTTTTTCACATTTACTATGCTCCAGCTGAATCATGTTTTCAGACATCAAAACAAGCGTACTTACATTGCCGGGAAACCTGGAGGCATCCTGGAGCCGTTGAACAACCCGAACGGAAAATCCATCCTTCCCAGAACTGCGATATCTGTTCGGGCAATCACCAACTGAAGCCTTTCGCCGTGGTGCTCAAACTTCTCGCTGTCATCCGCAGACACGCCGCGAAGGCATCCGGTTCGTGACCCACTGCCCCGGGCTAGTGGCCCGCGGCACTCACGGCCTTCCTTTATGTCGCCTCCCCCGCCACACCTCGGCACTAATGGCCGCACGGGCCCACCGCGAGCGCGTCGTTAGCGACCACGTGACCAGCACTGCCGCGGGTCTTCGGTTTCTCGTTACGACGCGTAGGTGGCTGCGTAATTCTTTCGGTGTGGACTTCTGCGTCTCTGTTGCCACGGCAACTGAAATGGATGGAGAACATGAGCAGTCTGTAAACGATAATGTGGCAACGGCGGCAGATAAGAACATCAGACACCTCTGGGCTGACAATGCTTGCGGCTATCAAAACACGCAATGTATGCGCACGGTGGCCCACTGAGTGCTTGGTGGGGCACTGCGAGGACATCCACCTCCTTTTTGTGGGAGCACGACTGTTGTTTTGAAAGCGGAAGTGTATAAGTGGCCTCAAAACAGGTAGGTCAGTTGGAGAAGGCGGAGACAACCGAAACGAAGGCAAACGTGCGCCGTCCACCAAACAGAGAAGAGAATATCATGGGCAAAGGGCTCGGACACGGAAAAAGTTGAGCGTGGAATGGAGCATTTATGTTTTTATTACACTTTTGCATGCAACACAATAGATGACATGTTCAGCTCCGCTAAAATTAAAAACTTGTCCACCCGTCTTCATTTCAGCGGAGACCACGCCCGCCACTGCCCTCCCCCTCCCCCCATCATCAAAACGGAGGGGGCATCTGGGTTGTGCGTGAGAGACGGTTTAGGGGCTATAGTGGCTTTACGCCAGTTACTGTCAGTCATATGCCTTACGGTGTGAGCGGTTTCCCGACAAATTTACAAAGTAATACGTGCGTACGGTGGTTACCGTGCTCGACGGCGTGTGCCATCTAGAGAAGGATGCGTTCGGCCTAGCTTCAGCGCCCGTACGGAGGTTACCGCGCTCGACGGAGTGTGCCATCTAGAGAAGGATGCGTTTGGCCTGGCTTCAGCACACGTACGGAGGTTACCGCGCTCGACGGCGTGTGCCATCTAGAGAAGGATGCGTTCGGCCTAGCATCGGCACACGAAAATGCAGAATGCACAATATGGGTGAGAAGAAAGCAACTGATTCAAATCATAAGTTGCACGCTATCATGGTATAGTATTTTGGCTTGCGTGTGTTATAACTGCCTTTCAGCCGTATCACACAGGTGTATCACACACTCGTGATTCGTGTCTGGAGATTCAACTAAATGCATGCTTTCAGAATGAGCACGCCCAGACTCCTAAATTGTCTCAGTGAAATCTGATCAGATCATATTCGGCGATACCTAATGAGCTGGCCCAAATAGTTTTGTGTTAATGGAGCCTTCCGTCGTACATCACCATAATATACCAATAAAGTACGCCAGCTAAGTGCCAGTGACCGGGCGCAGCCAAGCGTCCCGAGTTGTCCCGAATTCCCAGCCTTACAACGCTTTTTGCGCGTCGGCTTCCATTAAGCGGCTTAAGGGCGTTTCAGTCCCGGGCATGGCCGCCTTCGCGTTCTTCGCTTGACGACCGGGTGGCGTTTCTCCTCCCAGATGTGGTGGGTGTTCTGCACGTGCTCTGGCGGCGGGTGGGACAGCCCCCGCCGCCTCAGACAGTGCCACCACCTGTCACGCTGTGGCTTGTCACGCGCTCCGAGCTAAGCCTCAGCACTTTCGTGCCGCTCTGTGGAAGCGGCTCGGCCCGATCCCCCGTCCCGCCACCCCCTCTCCCCTCCTGGCACCACCCGCCGAGACGGAGTAAGCCGACAGCAGACGGCCATGTCACGGCCTGTGTCGGGGAGGGCAGGCCCAGATGAGACGGGTCAAGACATGAGACATGGGCCTGACTGCGTTCTGTTTGTGATGTAGCGGGATGGTGTCGGGGAGGGGAGGCCCAGATGAGGCGGGTCAAGACATGAGACATGGGCCTGACTGCGTTCTGTTTGTGATATAGCGGGATGGTGTCGGGGAGGGGAGGCCCAGATGAGACGGGTCAAGACATGAGACATGGGCCTGACTGCGTTCTGTTTGTGATGTAGCGGGATGGTGTCAAAACGGTGCGCATCGTGGTTTTTGAACGCCCAAAAGCAAACTCGGCGGGGTGAAGATGCTGAGCATGCACATGTCACTGTTTCCTGTCGCAAAACTAACGTCCAACCTTCAGTCCGAACTGCGCTTTAATACACGACCTAAACACATACTAGTGGTTCCGGGGCGTGGATGGGACATGGGGCTCAGATCTGTGGCCTCTTCAAAAGGCTTGTTTATGCCAGAGCTATCATTTTTTTGCTGGTACATGAGTTGTGTTTGGAAGTATGCCCTTACATCATGTTTCGCGGGATTGATCTCCAAAATTTGCACAAGATTCATTTTCAATACTTGCAGAAGCCTTACCTTCCACTCACAAGCTTAGGCTACCAGACAGAGAAAAACCAAAGTATCGAAAAAACATCATTCGGCTAAATGGTTCCAAGCATACGGTATATGAGCGATAAGATCAAATCCTTGTTGCGATGCGTCGAATAAGTGCCTTGACGCAGCATTATCACTACTGAGACGGCTCGATCGTTTGATGGCGGAGTTCCGTTTCAAAACCCTTTTGGCCGCTCCGTACACCACAATCCAATCCAGAATGAATACAAAGAAATTAAGTGCCCGAAGTATCTAGAAGTATCTTGGGCTTAACGCGTAGACCAATGCATGTTGTGCGGTCTCTCCAAAAATCCGATCGAAGTGCAAGTAGTTAACTGTTAGTTACGCCTTCCCCTGTGTCTAAGCGCCTCTCTGTGTTGATATCTGTCTGAATGAGCATTGTCATGGACTTCATCGCTAGTCCCCACTTCATCGTTGGGGTCTTTAAGCGTGAAGTTGGCAGCAGTTATGAACCTTATGCAGTTTCTGTCGTGGACAACGCGCAGTGCAGTGAGCCAGCATGTAATAACCTGCACCCAATTACCCTTCACAGCCTTAATTAATGAAATAGCGCAATGCTACCAGCACTACTGCGGCTGCGGCAATCAGCCCTGCTAACCACATCCCGTCTTTACCAGCCTGGCTTGTTTGTACGCCTGACATACGAGGCGAGCGGTTACCATGACGCCCAAGCGGCCGGCGCCGCTACGCAACTCCGCCGCAGCCTGGCTTGTTTGTACGCCTGACATACGGGGCGAGCGGTTACCATGACGCCCAAGCGGCCGGCGCCGCTACGCAACTCCGCCGCAGCCTGGCTTGTTTGTACGCCTGACATACGGGGCGAGCGGTTACCATGACGCCCAAGCGGCCGGCGCCGCTACGCAACTCCGCCGCAGCCTGACTTGTTTGTACGCCTGACATACGGGGCGAGCGGTTACCATGACGCCCAAGCGGCCGGCGCCGCTACGCAACTCCGCCGCAGCCTGGCTTGTTTGTACGCCTGACATACGGGGCGAGCGGTTACCATGACGCCCAAGCGGCCGGCGCCGCTACGCAACTCCGCCGCAGCCTGACTTGTTTGTACGCCTGACATACGGGGCGGGCGGTTACCATGACGCCCAAGCGGCCGGCGCCGCTACGCAACTCCGCCGCAGCCTGGCTTGTTTGTACGCCTGACATACGGGACGAGCGGTTACCATGACGCCCAAGCGGCCGGCGCCGCTACGCAACTCCGCCGCAGCCTGGCTTGTTTGTACGCCTGACATACGGGGCGAGCGGTTACCATGACACCCAAGCGGCCGGCGCCGCTACGCAACTCCGCCGCAGCCTGGCTTGTTTGTACGCCTGACATACGGGGCGAGCGGTTACCATGACGCCCAAGCGGCCGGCGCCGCTACGCAACTCCGCCGCAGCCTGGCTTGTTTGTACGCCTGACATACGGGGCGAGCGGTTACCATGACGCCCAAGCGGCCGGCGCCGCTACGCAACTCCGCCGCAGCCTCGCGACCGCTCCCACCCGTAAAGCAGCAAACGGCCCAGCCGCCGAATGAACTCATCAACTTTCCCGTATCAAACTCCGCTCGGGCCGTCCGCTGGCGACAGCGATCACCGCTTTCGTCGCCAACAGCTTCCTTCATCACGGCTCGCTCGCACGCCTCCGACGGTCCGACAGCCTCAGCGCCGTCGTCGGAAGCTCTTCCGCGTGTGGTTCGCCGCCGCTTCCGGACGGGAGGCCGCAGCGCGGCTATTATGCTAATTACCCGGGGATTTAGCACCGCCCGGTGCTGCGGCTCGGCATTTACGGACTGTCCGGCTGTCGGCGGATGCGATCCCACACCGGACTGCGACCCCTGACCTGGCGGCGGGTCGGCCCCGCCCCTCGGCCGATCCGTGACCCCTGATTGGCTGGCGCGAGCCGCGGTGGTGTCAGCGGGCCACCCGGCCGTCCCGCGTCCCCGCGGTGGGTATTTACGCGCTGAACTGGAGTCGCTGTACGCCCAGGGTGGGCGCTGTAACGGATGGCGGTGGTGGTTTAGCGGTCTGCACGCCCTCACTGGCCCAGCTGCGGCGCTGATCGTCGATGCGTGAACAGCTGGGGTCGCGGTGCTGCGGTCTGCCCTAGTGGTTAACGTCTCGCCTCGCGGCGTGAGAAGGGTTCACAGACGCCGCAAGTCATTGCAAAAATCGTATACTGTGTAGTCATGCCGTGCTGTAGATGCCAAACCACTCGTCCCCCCCCCCCACCCCTTCATTTTCGGTCATAAGATTCAACTGAACCATTACGTATTAATACAATTCTGTATCGCTCTTTTCAGGCCATCTGTAAATTCCTTTGGAAGGGACGTCAAGGTGAACCGAGAATGAGGGACACTTTCCATCCATGTATGATGCTGAAGAGATGTGGGACCCGTATGGGGACTATTGCCCCTAGTCACTCCATAATCCCGCTGTTGACTCATCCCACCTTTCGTGACCGGCCTGACTTCTATCGGCGTCAGTCCACCCGGTCTGGCCTCTGCCGGCGTCAGTACAGCCAGTCTGACCTCTACCGGTGTCAGTCCAACAGGTCTAACCTCTGCCAGCGTCATTTAAGCAGATCTGACCTCTGCCGGCATCGGCCCAGCCAGCCTGACCTCTGTCGGCGTCAGTTCAGCCGGTCTGGTCTCTGCCGGCGTCAGTCCAGCAGGTCTGACCTCTGCCGGCGTCAGACCAGCATGTCTGACCTCTGCCGGCGTCACTCCAGCTCCGGCAGTGCCGTCCTGTGGAACCCAGGTGGTAGACTGGAGCATGGTGAGCCGGTATCCAAC